TAAAAGTGATATTTAAAAATATTAAAAAAAGTGAACTAACATTAAAAAAGTTTAACATAAAAGGTTTTTAATATAATTATCAATAAACGTTTTTTCAAAATAATTTCAAAACCACCTATAAACATTCGTAACAATTTTGTGATTTGAAAGTTCCTTTGTTATCAATTAAGTTTTTAAAATTTAAATAAAAAGTGTAAGTTTTTTTGTTTTATTAAAAACTAATAAAAAATATTTAAGTTTCAAAATTTATAAAAATATAAAAAAAATTTATTTAACATAAAAATTTTTGTAAAACTAAAAAATTAAATTATAGAAAAATTTTTGGAATTCATAAGTGTTTTTCTTTAGGGAAACAAGTTTTATACAGAAGATTTGTTTGGAATCAAAATAAATGTTAAAATATTTAAAAAATCTTTTAAAATAGACATTCAAACACTTTTTCTATATAATGTTTGTTGGATTAATTAAAAAAGTTTTGGATTCCCGAGAAGTTTTTCTTTAAAAAAAATTACATAATGCAAAAATTTTATCTTTAGAAAAATTTTTAGAGCCTCAACAAACTTTTCTATAAAATATTTGTTTGAGTCCTTGCCAGTTTTTTGGTGGAATATCTGCTGGACACAATAGGTATTTTATAGCAAAATTTTTGAGAATCCCAACAAGATTTTGTAATGAAAATTTTCGCAACTCCTACAATATTTTTTAAAGAAAGAATTTTTCAATCCCAATAATATTTTTCTAGGTATATAAATGGAAGTCAAAGAATTATCTATATATCTATATATCTATCTATCTATCTATCTATCTATCTATCTATCTATCTATCTATCTATCTATCTATCTATCTATCTATCTATCTATATTTTTCTAGGTATATAAATGGGAGTCAAAGAATTATTTATCTATCTATCTATCTATCTATCTATCTATCTATCTATCTATCTATCTATCTATCTATCTATCTATCTATCTATCTATCTATCTATCTATCTATCTATCTATCTATCTATCTATCTATCTATCTATCTATCTATCTATCTATCTATCTATCTATCTATCTATCTATCTATCTATCTATCTATCTATCTATCTATCTATCGTATCTATCTATCTATCTATCTATCTATCTATCTATCTATCTATCTATCTATCTATCTATCTATCTATCTATCTATCTATCTATCTATCTATCTATCTATCTATCTATCTATCTATCTATCTATCTATCTATCTATCTATCTATCTATCTATCTATCTATCTATCTATCTATCTATCTATCTATCTATCTATCTATCTATCTATCTATCTATCTATCTATCTATTATCTATCTATCTATCTATCTATCTATCTATCTATCTATCTATCTATCTATCTATTATCTATCTATCTATCTATCTATCTATCTATCTATCTATCTATCTATCTATCTATATTTTCTAGGTATATAAATGGGAGTCAAAGAATTATTTATCTATCTATCTATCTATCTATCTATCTATCTATCTATCTATCTATCTATCTATCTATCTATCTATCTATCTATCTATCTATCTATCTATCTATCTATCTATCTATCTATCTATCTATCTATCTATCTATCTATCTATCTATCTATCTATCTATCTATCTATCTATCTATCTATCTATCTATCTATCTATCTATCTATCTATCTATCTATCTATCTATCTATCTATCTATCTATCTATCTATCTATCTATCTATCTATCTATCTATCTATCTATCTATCTATCTATCTATCTATCTATCTGTCTATCTATCTATCTATCTATCTATCTATCTATCTATCTATCTATCTATCTATCTATCTATCTATCTATCTATCTATCTATCTATATATCTATATATCTATATATCTATCTATCTATCTATCTATCTATCTATCTATCTATCTATCTATCTATCTATCTATCTATCTACCTGTCTATCTATCTATCTATCTATCTATCTATCTATCTATCTATCTATCTATCTATCTATCTATCTATCTATCTATCTATCTATCTATCTATCTATCTATCTATCTATCTATCTATCTATCTATCTATCTATTATCTATCTATCTATCTATCTATCTATCTATCTATCTATCTATCTATCTATCTATCTATCTATCTATCTATCTATCTATCGATCTATCTATCTATCTATCTATCTATCTATCTATCTATCTATCTATCTATCTATCTATCTATCTATATCTATCTATCTATCTATCTATCTATCTATCTATCTATCTATCTATCTATCTATCTACAATCTATTGATTTAATCATTTTGCAACTTTTTCTTAAAATTTCAATTGCAACAACGAAATTTCTTAGTTAATTAAATGATTCATATTAAATACAAATTATTTTTTAAGTGTTTACTATTATATGTTCATAAGAATCAAAACAAATCCCTGATATTGACCATGTTTTGATTATCTTAACACAATTTCTGATACGACAAAACTCTTATAATAGAACACACCTTTCAGTTTGTCTAGAAAACTTTTGGCCTTCTTTATTTTGTTTAAGATAATAAATATAATTATCTTGAATTGGAAACAATGTGTTTTTAATAAATAAAAGTTAAATATTGAAATGTTTTAGAATTAAAGGTTTAAAATTATATTATAATAATCTATTTCAAAGAGGTTTTTCTCAAAACAAATTAAGTTAATGTAATTTCAAACAAAAATGCTTGTTGGTGTAAAGTTTGTTTACAAATTAATATAGAGTTACCATACATATGGCAACTTTTTTAGTGTTTAAACACAGTAACCGAGAAAGCGTTCAAAACTAACAAGTTAGATAAAATAAAGTAGATTTTAATCATAATGAATAAAAATATTTATATTTTAAACAAAAACTATAAACTAATAATTATTTTTAAATATTTTATCTTTACAGTTTTGTTAAAAATCTACCAGCAGCTTTAATTTGTTGAAATTATATTTTACAATTGAATCTAAAGGATTATTATGTGTGTAATTATAAAAATTACAACATTTTATTGTAAAAATAGAAAATAAAACAATAATAAAAGTAAAGAAATAAACTTAACACAAAACTCCAGTACAAATATTAAAAGAAACAAAAACAAAATGGCTACAACTAATGTAACAGCCGGAGCAACTGCAACACCAGAAGAAACCCTGTCCAAAGATGAAGTAGATTTTGTTAAAGTCTCTCACAATAACAACAACAATCATAATATTAATAACAATGTAAATAATTTAACACACAACATCATCAACAACAACAACAACAAAGTGCCAAAAACAACAACCAACAATCAACAACAAAACAATAACAGTCAAAAGCCAAAGGAACGTTTAACAATATTTGGTTTTAGTAAAAAATCCAAATCTTTAGATGAACAAAAATTAGCAAAAAAGGACAATAGCAAAAGCCATGAAAAGTCAGATAGTGCTACCACAGATTCAGGATTCCCCTGTCAACCCACACCTGTACCCATAGGTACACCACCCAGACACAATAAATTTGTTAAAAGTTCTTCCATATCACGTCTTCTGGGCAATACCTATAATGCCAAAAAATTCGACAAAGAAGAGAAGAAGGTGGCAGCGGGTAAATTTAATACTTATGGCGGTAGACGTCGTTCAAGCGGTCCCTATTTGGAACGTTTCAAACGTTATGCCAAAGATGATGCTGATGTCGCATCACCTCCAGTTGTGCTAATCGAGAAAACAATGACCAATTCCGATACATTAGACAGCGAAATGTTGGCTTTGGAACATTTTCATGAACCACGTCACGATGATTTGGGTTCCAAGGCTATGCGTACCATATCCAGAGGTTTGGGTAAACTGTGGTGGAAACGTACACATAGTGTAGATATTAGTTCACCGGATCCGGAATTTAAGGTGTCATATTTGGGCAATGTTTTGACGGGATGGGCAAAGGGTAAGGATAATTTTAAATGATGTTATTGTTGTTGAAAAATACTAAACATTTTTATAAAATAATTAAAGTAAATAAAACTTAGTTTTTAATCCGAAAAAAATCATTTTTTGTTTCTTTCTTTTTTCCCGTCCAGGCGAAGGTTGTGTGGAGAAACAGCTAAATACGCTGTGGCGCAATTATACGCAAAACAATAAACCCGACGTAATAATGCGCCTAAAAGTATGTGCCTCTGGTTTGAAAGCAACAACCAGACAACACGGACTAACAGAATATTGGGCCAATCGTATCACACATTGCTGTGCACCAAAGAACTATCCACGCGTCTTCTGTTGGATTTATCGTCATGAGGGACGTAAGCTAAAACACGAACTGAGATGTCATGCTGTTTTGTGTAGTAAAGAGAAACAAGTACAAGAAATCTGTGATACTTTAAAGGTGAGAAAGAGTTTCTCCCATAACAATATATTTTGCTTCTTTAGAGAGAAACATAATTTTCATTTTTTTTTTTTTCGATTTTTTCCATTTTACAGGCCAATCTTGAGTGTGCTCTGCGTGAATTTAAACGTGAGAAAATTCTCAAACAGAATGCTCGCTTAAGTCTTGCTAACGCTGTCTATGATAACCCCAGTTTGCCAAGACGTAAGATTCTACTGAGTGTGGGCAGTAATAACTATCGTCCGCCCTTGGAAAGATCAAAATCGGCACCCAAATTAATGGCCATTGAAGAGGCCATAGGCGAAGAGGGAGAGGAGGTGGAAGAGACCAATGAACCTGAAATGAAGCCATGCTGTCAAAAGGATTCTTTATATCCAGCCATGACTTTAGGCAGAAGACGTTGCCGTCGTGGTCATTCCATACGCAGAACTGGTAAATTAAGACCGGTAAGCTGTGGATCCTCAGACAGTCCCTGCTGTGGTGGTAAACAACAACAGCCGCTGGCATTAAATGAAACCAAAGATTTAAAGGAAATGGAAAAGGTAAAGAAACCGGGAGATACAAATTATGGCTCCGATGATTCGGATGATTTTGAGAAAATATTAAAACACAATGATTACGATACCAATGCTTCTTTGACCAATGAATTGTTGCCCTATTTCGAGAGACAATTGAATAAGAATATCAGCAATAGTTGTGGCAGTTTAAGTGATTTAAAAGATGAGCAACAGGTTGGTGGTGCTCACCACGAAGAAGAAGGAGAACCTTTAAGTTTATTACCCTGTATAAATAATGATCCCAATGCTAATCCTTTAAATGATTTCAATCCCCATCATTTGAATGAACAAACCGAGGAAGAGGAAGCCGAACAATTGGTTACCATGAGACGTGCGGGAGTATGCAGTGATGGTGAAGATGATTTTTTGGGTGAAGAGGAAGATGATATGTACTTCCGTCAGGCGGGCCATTTTGACAATGCTACATCGTCATTCTATGCGTAAAATGGCTAATCTATCGCTGAGTAGCGATGAGGGCAGCAGTAGTTTGGAAACCAATTCCAGTGGTGTTATGGAAACTAGATATAAACATCAACAGCAGTCTTCTATATCATCTGAAGCCTCTTCGGCTTCTTCTACTCCCCAACAGAGTGCTAGCAAACGTATAAGTAATGATAGTGCTGATGAGGGTTCCATATCTAGTGGTTGTGAGACCGCCAGCACGGTAACCAATAATCAAGATGATATATCTTTGAAATATAGACAAGCTCTCAAACAATTTTCTAACGGTGAGGTTGTACATGACCTCGAAGAGCCCTCCTCTTTGGATTCCAACTCCCTAACAAATGAGGAAATCTTTGAATGTTTACAGAAACGTAATAACAGTGATGCCGCCACCACCTTTAGCAGTTCCAGTTCTATAACTCTCAAAATGAGCTCCTCCCCCAGAGACTCTCTAAGTGGCCTTAATCTAACCGAACAGAGTCCAACATTATCGTGCACAAATAGCAGTATATCATCAGTACAACGTCCCAGACGTTCTAGACGTCAACGTGATGTTAAACAAGATTCAGATTCCGAGTGCAGTGATGAATCGGGTTATGTCGAGTATCAGGAGAGAGAAAAGTGTAAGAGTAATAATAACAATAGTAGTAGTAATAGTAAGTTAGAACAACCAAAGCCTCAATTACCTATAAAGCCTCAAATACCACCAAAACCTATGCCACGAAGATTTATCAATATACATAATAATACTACAACAACTATACCTACAACAACAACGGTTTAGGGATTTGTTAATTACATTGTTTTATTTCTGGTTAGTTTAGCAAAGTTTATAACCAAGTAAAAGTTTTAAAGAGAGTAAGAGAGAGATACAAAGAGTAGGATTTCTTTTTACAGCCAGAAGTTGGCTGCATTCTCTCCCTCTTTTAAAGATTTAACAATTTTAAATAATTGCAACAATTTTGAAATATTTTCTTTTAAAAAAACTAAAAAGAAACTAAACGTTTCTTTGCAAAATAATATTTCTATGAAAAAAACTTTGAAATTCTTTAAAAATTAGTGTTAAACGTTACATTTCTACAAATTTTCTTTTAAAAACTCTTACAACTTCTCACATTTTTCAATTAAAGTTTTTAATTCCTTTCTAATCGAACTTTTACAACAGTGATATTGTATTGTTTTTACAAAAAAAAAAAATAACAAACCAACAAAAACAACTTAAATTTAAAAGTCCTCATCATCCCCTTGTGCTTATATATATATTCATTAAAATACTTAACATTTAGTGCCTTAAAAAATATATCTTTTTAGAAAATTTTTTATTTTATAAAAGAATTTGTTGAAAATTATTATAAACATTTATATTAATTAAAAACTAAACAATATTATTTTATATTTATACACCATATTTTTACATTTAACACAATAAATAATTAAGTGATTTATACAATTTGTTGGTTTTTGTTTGTTTTTTTATTATTTTTAGTATTAAAAAAAAATAGTTTTAAAAAACAAATTTATATAAGTTATAAAATAAAAATTGTTTATAATTTCTTGCATCCCTCTTCCCTTAAATCATTGTTTTATATCATTTTAGTTCTTATACAAAACAACAACTTGTTTTTTGTCAAATTATTCTTTTTTTGTCTACAAATCTATTTTATTATAACACATTTCTTTAACTTGCATTGTTTTATTGTAAATGAATTTATTATGTTAAATCTCTATTATATTATTATATATTATTGCTATTATTATATTTTTTATATAGTATAAGTTTTATCTGCTTAGAATTTTTAATAAAAATGATATAATTTAATAATAATAAAACAAATGAGTGAATAAAGTATCAATAAAAAAAGAACAAAACAAAAGTTTGAAGTTATTTTTCTAATGAATTGGGTGAAAATTCTAGCGGGATTATGAAACATTGATATACACATTAACTTCTATTATAGAATTGTTCTAGAAATGAACTAAAACTGAAGTTCAACTGAACTAGAATTGAACTAGAACTGAACTAGACCTGAACTAGAATTGAACTAGAACTGAACTAGAACTGAATTAGAACTGAATTAGAACTGAACTAGAACTGAACTAGAACTGAACTAGAACTGAACTAGAACTGAACTAGAACTGAACTAGAACTGAACTAGAACTGAACTAGAACTCAACTAGAATTGAACTAGAACTGAACTAGAACTGAACTAGAAATGAACTAAAACTGAAGTACAACTGAACTAGAATTGAACTAGAACTGAACTAGATCTGAACTAGAATTGAACTAGAACTGAACTAGAACTGAACTAGAACTGAACTAGAACTGAACTAGATCTGAACTAGAACTGAACTAGAACTGAACTAGAACTAGAACTGAACTAGAACTGAACTAGAACTAGAACTGAACTAGAACTAGAACTGAACTAGAACAGAACTAGAACTGAACTAGAACTGAACTAGAACTGAACTAGAACTGAACTAGAACTGAACTAGAACTGAACTAGAACTGAACTAGAACTGAACTAGAACTCAACTAGAACTGAACTAGAACTGAACTAGAACTGAACTAGACTTGAACAGAACTGAATTAGAACTGAACTAGAACTGAACTAGAACTGAACTAGAACTGAACTAGAACTGAACTAGAACTGAACTAGAACTGAACTAGAACTGAACTAGAACTGAACTATAACTGAACTAGAACTGAACTGAACTAGATCTGAACTAGAACTGAACTACAACTGAACTAGAACTGAACTAGAACTGAACTAGAACTGAATTAGAACTGAACTAGAACTAAACTAGAACTGAATTAGAACTGAACAGAGATGAACTAGAACTGAACTATCTATCTATCTATCTATCTATCTATCTATCTATCTATCTATCTATCTATCTATCTATCTATCTATCTATCTATCTATCTATCTATCTATCTATCTATCTGACTATCTATCTGACTATCTATCTATCTATCTATCTATCTATCTATCTATCTATCTATCTATCTATCTATCTATCTATCTATCTATCTATCTATCTATCTATTAATTAATCTATCTATTTATCTATCTATTTATCTATCTATCTATCTATTTATATATCTATCTATTTATCTATCTATCTATTTATCTATCTATTTCTATTTAGCTATCTACACAACTTCTATGAAATTTTGAAACTCGAGTTATTACTTTTCATTTAAAGTCATTGCGCTTTTTGAACAAAAAGACAAACCATTAATATTTTTTTAACACTTCGCCACGCTATTTTACTTTCTGCCAAATATTTTTTAACATTGCAAAACATTTAACATGGTAAACCTGTTAAATTTAACAATTTTTTATAATATATAAAATAAACAACTCAATATAAACAACGATTTTTTTAAAATTACCAATATAAACCAGTTATAATTTAATTCGAAATTTATCTTAAGAGGAAAAAGTTCTTAGGGTTAAATTTAAATGACACCTTAAAATATACAAGAAATACCCAAAATCCACAACAAAAAAAACGCACATGCCCAAAAACTCATTAAATTTGCACACAAAACCAAAAGACAGACAACAATTTTTAAATTGACCCACTTTTTCGAAAAAATAACACTTAATTTGTTACAAGCTTTACTTTAGTCGCAAAAAAATAAAAAATGCATTAAACCAGATTTTGTCTTAAATCAATTTTTTATGTTTTCTTTATTAAATTTTTTTTAACAATTACACAAAAAAATAAAACAACTGATAAAACTGGATCTTTAACTTAAAATTGCGTTGTGGTATGTGGTGTTTCAGGCAAAAGTTAGTGCCGAGATGTTATTGACACACCGCATCGTGAAAGGAAATAGTTCCCCTTTTTTGTAAGAGACCACAAACTGTACCGCGAAAATCACGTAATGAACTGTCCTGTAATTGTTGATCGAAAACCTGTACGAGATAAAAAAAACATGAATTTTAAATAAAATAAACGTTTTTGTTTTAATCATTATTATGCTCATTATGTATTTTAAACATTATTAAATTGCTTGTATATTGTTGTACTTACAACCGTCGTAAATTATGGTCGGTACAAAACTTATCCGATATGAGTGAGTTATGCGTTCAGCTTCCAATTGCAGTAATGTTCCCAATTCGGTATTCATGCAGGTGTCAATGTCACTTGAGAGGCCAACTGATTCGGCGCACTGAGTAAATAGGGAAATTGATTTTTAGTTGATTATAAAGACAACTTAATAAAGCCAAGAAAGCAGAATCACTTCCACAGCTTATTTAACAATTTCCACAGATGAAATGTCATTCATTATTTTGCAGACAATATAATAACTACTCTATTAAAAGTGCTCGAAATAGATTAAATTATCTTTTAAGATTGGCCCATATTTGCCATAGCTCCCATGTAATGACAACTTCGTAAAATAAATGTAATTTTCACAAATATCTTAAACCTGAATTAGAACTAAACTAGACGAAACTAAAATTAGAATTTAAATTCAACTGAATTAAAATTTAAGAAGAAATGAACTGGATCTGATCTAGAACTGAACTAGAACCGAACTAGAATTAATTTAGAATTGAACGAGAACTGAGTAGAACAAACCAGAACTGAACTAGAACTGAACTAGAACTAGAACTGAACTAGAAATAGACTGAACTAGAACTGAACTAGAACTGAACTAGAACTGAACTAGAACTGAACTAGAACTGAACTAGAACTGAACTAGAACTGAACTAGAACTGAACTAGAACTGAACTAGAACTGAACTAGAACTGCACTAGAACTGAACTAGAACTGAACCAGAACTGAATTAGAATTGAACTAGAATTGAACTAGAACTGAACTAGAACTGAACTAGAACTGAACTAGAACTGAACTAGAACTGAACTAGAACTGAACTAGAACTAGAACTGAACTAGAACTGAACTAGAACTGAACTAGAACTGAACTAGAACTGAACTAAAACTGAACTAGAACTAGAACTGAACTAGATCTGAACTAGAACTAAACTAGAATTGAAGTAGAACTGAACTAGAACTGAACTAGAACTGAACTAGAACTGAACTAGAACTGAACTAGAACTGAACTAGAACTGAACTAGAACTGAACTAGAACTGAACTAGAACTGAACTAGAACTGAACTAGAACTGAACTAGAACTGAACTAAACTGAACTAGAACTGAACTAGAACTGAACTAGAACTGAACTAGAACTGAACTAGAACTGAACTAGAACTGAACTAGAACTGAACTAGAACTGAACTAGAACTGAACTAGAACTGAACTAGAACTAAACTAGAACTGAACTAGAACTAAACTAGAACTGAACTACTAGAATTGAACTAGAACTGAACTAGAACTGAACTATAACTGAACTAGAACTGAACTAGAACTAGAACTGAACTAGAACTGAACTAGAAATGAACTAGAAATGAACTAGAACTGAACTAGAACTGAACTAGAACTGAACTAGAACTGAACTAGAACTGAACTAGAACTGAATTAGAACTGAACTAGAACTGAACTAGAACTGAACTAGAACTGAACTAGAACTGAACTAGAACTGAACTAGAACTGAACTAGACTGAACTAGAACTGAACTAGAACTGAACTAGAACTGAACTAGAACTGAACTAGAACTGAACTAGAACTAAACTAGAACTGAACTAGATCTGAACTAGAATTGAATTTGGATTGAACTAGAACTGAACTAGAACTGTACTAGATCTGAACTAGATCTGAACTAGAACTGAACTAGAACTGAACTAGAACCGAACTAGAACTGAACTAGATCTGAACTAGAACTGAACTAGAACTGAACTAGAACTGAACTAGAACTGAACTAGAACTGAACTAGAACTGAACTAGAACTGAACTAGAACTGAACTGAACTGAACTAGAACTGAACTAGAACTGAACTAGAACTGAACTAGAACTAGAACTGAACTGAACTAGAACTAAGCTAGAACTGAACTAGAACTGAACTAGAACTGAACTAGAATTGAACTAGAACTGAACTAGAACTCAACTAGAACAGAACTAAAACTGAACTAGAACTAGAACTCAACTAGAACTAGAACTGAACTAAACTAGAACTAAGCTAGAGTTTAACTAGAACTTAAATAGTTTTTATTTGTTGTCTTATTTGCGGTTATATTTCGAATTTATACTTACATAGTTTACATTGGAATTATCTGGAATGGTCATTTGACAAACGACGAATTTAACTTGACTCAATTGATCTTTGGTTTGTTGTAGAACACACGATTGCTGGCGATTGCCAAAACACTCACGAGGACCGTGTTGGCAAAAGAATTGGGCGCCATTATTTTTGGACTGAAAGCAAACAAATATAAATTATACACAATAAAGGCCTTCGAATCATTAAGGAGGATCCTACATTAGGACCCTGTCCCCTAAATAAAAAAAAAAAACTACTTACATAAGATTTTCCAAATGGCACCAAAGATATATCAATGTAATCCTTTAACACATCATAGTTGGGACCCAATTGACGGCCGATAAAACGTATACTGTCTGGGCACAAAGACTCGTATAAAACTAAAACTTTTAACTGTAAAAGAGTTTAAAAAGTAAGATAAAATTTTAAATAAATCACTTTATTTCTTACCTTCTCCACTGGGGCTTGACCATTACAAATGACAAAAGCAAACACGGCTAAAATTAGGGGCAACAAAGAAATTGATGGTTTAAACATTTTTTCTTTCCAATTAACAATTTATTTTTATTTTTAACGAAAATATAAACACAGTAGTTCTTTGTTGTTTAACCCAGTAATGTTGTATTCAGAATAAATTTATAAAGAATATTAAATAAACAATTTAAACATTCGTTGTGTTTGTGGTTGTTTTAGTTCTTCTTCCTCAATTTTTCCGTGTTAAAGAGTCAATTAAACTTTAAATTTTGAATTGATTTCTTTAAATTTATTTCAATTTTATTTGTTATTGGAGGCGTAGAGTTGTTGTGATTTGTCGTTGTTGTAGTTGTTGTTAAGGTTTATGCACGATTTAAAATTTCAGTTAACGTTCGTGTTTTAGTTCAATCCGCACATCCAAACACTCTATGTATTGAATTGACAGAATTATCACAACTGAACTGTTAACACTAACTATAACTCAATATGGTCAGATTAAAATTATAAAAACAAAAATGTTTTAATATTTTGGAGACCGTTGAATGGCTTCTTATATTGTTGTTGTTGTTGTTGTCGTGACTTCTGAGAACTGTTTGTTAGCTGTAGTAGACAAACTTTAGTACTCGGTTAGTCGTAGTTACGATTTTGAGATTGTTACCTTCATTGAATGTGAAATCAATTCGCTACGCATACGAGTACATGATTATGAATATGTTACAATATGAACCTGAAAACAGGGTCTTACAAAATTTTATGTGTTTTGGGAAAACATAGTTTGGTATTGAAAGAAAAAAAAATGCAATTAAATTGTGACCTTAGCATTTACAAAGTTGAAATTTCGAAAATAATAGATATGATCAGATCAGAAATCGCCTGAATTCACTTTTGAATTTGAAGGATAAGGAGCGTGACTCTAATCCTTCAAAAAAACACAATTTGGTTAAATGAAAATTGTCCAACTTTTAATAAGCTCCGATTCCAGTAGAAATGGAGAGCGAACCTTTAGCCAACTAAGCGAGAACGAGGTCAAAACATTTAGTTTAGTTCTAGTTTAGTTCTAATTTAGTACTAGTTTAGTACTAGTTCAGCTCTAGTTCAATTCTAGTTCTGTTATAGTTCATTTCAGTTCAGTTCCAGTTTACTTCTAATTCAGTTCTAGTTCAGTTCTAGATCAGTTCTAGTTTCAGGTTCTAGTTCAGTTCTAGTTCATTCTAGTTCAGTTCTAGTTCAGTTCTAGTTCAGTTCTAGTTCAGTTCTAGTTCAGTTCTAGTTCAGTTCTAGTTCAGTTCTAGTTCAGTTCTAGTTCAGTTCTAGTTCAGTTCTAGTTCAGTTCTAGTTCAGTTCATTCTAGTTCAGTTCAGTTCAGTTCTAGTTCAGTTCAGTTCAGTTCTAGTTCAGTTCAGTTCTAGTTCTAGTCTAGTTCAGTTCTAGTTCAGTTCTAGTAGTCAGTTCTAGTTCAGTTCAGTTCTAGGTTCAGTTCTAGTTCAGTTCTAGTCAGTTCTAGTTCAGTTCTGTCAGTTCTAGTTCATTCTAGTTCAGTTCTAGTTCAGTTCTAGTTACAGTTCTAGTTCAGTTCGAGTTTCAGTTTCTAGTTCAGTCTAGTTCAGTTCTAGTTCAGTTCTAGTTCAGTTCTAGTTCAGTTCTAGTTCATTCTAGTTCAGTTCTAGTTCAGTTCTAGTTCAGTTTAGTTCAGTTCTAGTTCAGTTCTAGTTCAGTTCTAGTTCAGTTCTAGTTCAGTTCTAGTTCAGTTCTAGTTCAGTTCTAGTTCAGTTCTAGTTCAGTTCTAGTTCAGTTCTAGTTCAGTTCTAGTTCAGTTCTAGTTCAGTTCAGTTCAGTTCTAGTTCAGTTTAGTTCAGTTTTCAGTTCTAGTTCAGTTCTAGTTCAGTTCTAGTTCAGTTCTAGTTCAGTTCTAGTTCAGTTCTAGTTCAGTTCTAGTTCAGTTCTAGTTCAGTTCTAGTTCAGTTCTAGTTCAGTTCTAGTTCAGTTCTAGTTCAGTTCTAGCTCAGTTCTAGTTCAGTTCAGTTCTAGTTCAGTTCAGTTCTAGTTCAGTTCAGTTCTAGTTCAGTTCTAGTTCAGTTCTAGTTCAGTTCTAGTTCAGTTTAGTTCAGTTCTAGTCAGTTCTAGTTCAGTTCTAGTTCAGTTCTAGTTCAGTTCAGTTCTAGTTCAGTTCTAGTTAAGTTCTAGTTCAGTTCTAGTTCAGTTCTAGTTACTTCTAATTCAGTTCTAGTCAGTTTCTAGATCAGTTCTAGTTCAGTTCTAGTTCAGTTCTAGTTCGTTCTAGTTCAGTTCTAGTTTCAGTTCTAGTTCAGTTTCTAGTTCAGTTCTAGTTCAGTTCTAGTTCAGTTCTAGTTCAGTTCTAGTTCAGTTCTAGTTCAGTTCTAGTTCAGTTCTAGTTCAGTTCTAGTTCAGTTCAGTTCTAGTTCAGTTCTAGTTCAGTCAGTTCTAGGTTCTAGTTCAGTTCTAGTTCAGTTCTAGTTCAGTTCTAGTTCAGTTCTAGTTCAGTTCTAGTTCAGTTCTAGTTCAGTTCTAGTCAGTTCCTAGTTCAGTTCTAGTTCAGTTCTAGTTCAGTTCTAGTTCAGTTCTAGTTCAGTTCTAGTTCAGTTCTAGTTTCAGTTCTAGTTCAGTTCTAGTTCAGTTCTAGTTCAGTTCTAGTTCAGTTCTAGTTCAGTTCTAGTTCAGTTCTAGTTCAGTTCTAGTTCAGTTCTAGTTCAGTTCTAGTTCAGTTCTAGTTCAGTCTAGTTCAGTACTAGTCAGGTCAGTTCTAGTTCAGTCTATCATCTAGCGATCTAGCGAGTTCGAGCGAGCGAGCATCATCGAGGATGCAGCGAGCGAGCGAGCGAGCGAGCGAGCGAGCGAGCGAGCGAGCGAGCGAGCGAGCGAGCGAGCGAGCGAGCGAGAGCGAGCGAGCGAGCGAGCGAGCGAGCGAGCGAGCGAGGAGCGAGCGAGCGAGCGAGCGAGCGAGCGAGCGAGCGAGAGAGGAGCGAGCGAGCGAGAGCGAGCGAGCGAGGAGCGAGCGAGCGAGCGAAGCGGCGAGCGAGCGAGCGAGCGAGCGAGCGAGCGAGCTAGCGAGCGAGCGAGCGAGAGCGAGCGAGCGAGCGAGCGAGCGAGCGAGCGAGAGAGCGAGAGCGAGCGAGCGAGCGGCGAGCGAGCGAGATCGAGCGAGCGAGCGAGCGAGCGGAGCGAGCGAGCGAGCGAGCGAGCGAGCGAGCTAGCGAGCTAGCGAGCGATCGAGCGAGCGAGCGATCGAGCGAGCGAGCGAGCGAGCTATCGAGCGAGCGAGCTAGCGAGGGCGAGCTATCTATCTATCTATCTATCATCTATCTATCTATCGATCTATCTATCTATCTATCTATCTATCTATCTCGATCTATATCTATCTCTCTATCTATCTATCTATCTATTCTATCTATCTATCTATCTACCCACCTAAGTATCTAATCAAAAATCTCCAAAATTCCTTTAAAATACACCTCTTTGTCACTCCACCCTTTCAAATACTACTTACATACAAATGTATGTATGAAAGTATGAATGATTTTAACATTGAAGAGAGCATTAACACTCATACTTATGCAAAATTATATTAATTACCTTCTCAATATGTACAATTTACTAAAGAAAGAAAGAGAAAAACAATTGCATATCAATAATCACAAAATTGTCAAGTATGTTTTCAGAGCTTAACTGGCTCTAAGCCGGTTATCAATTGTTGACTTTCATTTCATTGTGCTCAGTTTTTTCTTGTACATATTTAGCTGATATTTGTTTATGTTTCGAAATAACCGTATTTTTTTGTATTATTGTCATTTCTTGTTTTGATCAATTGCAATGTTTACTGGTGGGAAGAGAAACAAAATGGTAAAGGAACACAGTGGTGAAGAGAAATTGTGTTTTAAAATAATGTTTTTTTATTAATATACTAATATGCTACATATTTGAATCTGTTTCGAAATATAACTGAATTATTTTGGTTGTTGATAATGTTTTGATAAACTCAAATATTTACCAGGGGAGAAAGATACTATATAGTTATGGAACACCCTGGGAATTAAAAATAATTAAATTTGAATAGAAAATTAAGTTTTGGTTTTAAGAAGTTTTTTTTAGTCAAACATTTGAAGCAAATCAAAGATGCCGTTGTAGTTAATGTTTTTATTATTATTATTTGTTTTTGTCAAACAAGTTTCATTGTATTTAGATAATGAAAAATAAACGTGTTCGTGAGCTAATAATTTAGCTATAATTTAAACTTAAATAATAACTTTTTTATTTTATTTCTAAAAGAAAACAAATTTTATGTTGAAACTAATAGATTTTTTTAATTATAATTTATAGAGAATACACGAAAAAAGTAAAAGCGACGTGTGAGAGTATATTTTGTAGAATTTCAAAACGAATAGTCCGATTTCAAGGAAACTTTGCCTGATCAAAGAAGCAGGAATGTATTTTGGGGTCCTATTAATAAATATCGAGAAAGACATTCTAGAAGAGGTAGCCACAGCTATCAGCTCTAGAGAGTTTTAAAGATACACAAACAATTTTACAAATTTACTGCCTCATTTAATATCTTAAACGGACATTGTATGTACTTTTAAAATATTCCGAAAAATAATCAAAATTTAAGGATTTTTAAAGCAAATTTCCAAATTAATATTTCGTTTACATATTTACTAAAATTTGTCAATTTTAACGAGTTATAAAATGTGTGTTTACTTCAAAATGTTATTACGGGAGCATCATATTAGACAATTTTAATTGCGATGCAATATTTACGACAAAACTGAAAAGTGTTTTAAAATTCTATTTCACAAAATATCTTTATACACCCCAACTAAAATAAACTATTATTTTATTTAATTAATGCTTATTTTAGTTTAGCAACTAATTAGACCTTTAAATCAGATTAAATAGCACGTAATGCGAATTAAATTAACACAAAATTGTTTCATGACAATTTTCCAAATTTTCCTATTGAGGCATACATTTTCAAAAAACTTCTCATATTAAAGTTTTTATATAAATATTATTATTATTTATTATAGAAACATTATGTACTTACCTTTACATCACAGAGAAAATTGAATTTTGAAATCAAATTCTCCTGAAAACATAAGAAATATTAAAAAAAATCAGATTATTTTAATAAATTTAAAAGTATTTTTAAAATTTTAAAGAGTATTGATATTTTTTAGTAAAAACAAGTTATAAAATTTAATAATAATTTCAAATTTTACCTAAAAAAAGAAGTTTCTCATATACAATCGATTTTTAAATGGAAATTTGAGTGATCACAGATTTTTATTATTTTGCCAATTGGAGTGCTATTTAAGGATCTATGAGTGATCATAGATTTTAAGAATCTACGATTTTAAGTTTCTCATATAAAAAAAGATTTTTGCTGAGAAATATCAGTGATCACTGATTTTCATTATTTTCTCAATTGAAGCGTTATTTAAGAATCTATATCCGACTTAAGTTTTCTTTATCATTTTGGTGAGAAACTTTAATGATCACGGATTTTCACTTGAGTGATTACCGATCTTCACTATTATCTCAATTTGGGCGATTTTAAGTTAAGTTTAAGTATATAATAATAGATTTTGATAGGAAATAAGAGTGATAACAGATTTTCACATTTTCTCTATTGGAGCGTTATTTAAGAATCTACAGCCTTTCTGCAGGTTCCTTTGAAAACGCGCCTCTTTGTTAACTAAATTGTCTCTTATTTTTCAAATTAACTAAAGTCTATTTTGTAAATATAGAGATAAAAAAGAAAAGTATATAAAAACTTTGCAAAATAATAGAAAACTCTAATTTATTTCATAAAAATATAATAAAATTTACTTAATTTTGTAAAATATTAATAATTTACTTATTTATTAGCAATATTTTAAAGAAATCCTCTTATTTATTCGAAATAATGTGAAAATTCCCTAAAAATAACGTTTTTCATTCATATTTTTCAATATAAATAACCCCCCAAACACTATTGTGATTGTTAAACAACATACAACCCTGCTGCTAGTCTAACAATCACAATAACAAATGTCAAAGAAAACACAAGAAAAGAAAAACAAAAACAGCTGTTGCAATAAAAATATTATGTTATCACGAAAACCTAAAAAAGGGCGTCGGAAATAAACTTAAAAAACAAATTATTTTAAATAAATTTATAAGAATATAAACAATTTCCTTAACAAAATAAACCTCTGAAATAAAACAACAACATGAAGAAGAAGGTAATGTCTATAAATACAAAAAAAGAAAAGTTTTAAAATTAAAACGCACTTTCTTTTCTAAAGGTATTACTTATGGGCAAAAGTGGTTCGGGTAAGACCAGTATGCGTTCCATTATATTTGCCAATTATATAGCACGGGATTACTACACGTTTGGGAAGCCACAGTAAGTTTGTTTGTGGTTTTAATAATATGCTAACATAAAGTAAATTGTTTGGTTGTTTTTTGTTTTACAGTCGATGTGGAGCATTCTCATGTACGTTTTTTGGGTAATTTGGTTTTGAATTTGTGGGATTGTGGTGGCCAGGACGGTTTTATGCAACAATATTTTGCCTCACAACGTGATAATATCTTTCGTAATGTAGAGGTTTTGATTTATGTATTTGATGTTGAAAGTCGTGAATTGGAAAGAGATGTCCATTACTATCAATCGTGTTTGGAGGCCTTGCTGCAGGTGAGTTTGGACATTTTTTTAAATTTAACAGTTTTTAGAGTAAAATAATGAAATTTCACTTCGAGCACATTTTATCAGCAGAAGTACACTATTTCTCATATTTTTCGAGATTTTCCAAGGTTTTTTTAATTAAGTCCTGTACTGTTTTCCTATTTTCAGAATTCTCCCGACGCCAAAATCTTTTGTTTAATACACAAAATGGATTTGGTTGCTGAAGAGCAAAGAGAAACTTTGTTTAAAGATAGAGAAGATGATTTAATACGTTTAAGTCGTCCTGGTAATGTAACATGCTTTAGAACCAGTATATGGGATGAGACACTATACAGGTAATATCAATAAAAAGCGAAAGTTTTTTAAAATTTTATTTATACTTTTCAAATTTTCTCTTTCCAGAGCCTGGTCCAGCATAGTAACATGCTATACCCAATGTGGCCGCTTTAGAAAACTCTCTTACCCATTTTGCCAATGTCATAGAGGCCGATGAAGTTCTACTCTTCGAAAAGGCCACCTTTTTGGTAATTTCCCATTGCCAGAGTAAAAAGAATCGTGATTCTCATCGTTTTGAAAAGGTTTCCAATATTATAAAACAATTTAAATTGAGTTGTTCGAAATTGGGTGGCAAATTCCTGTCCATAGAAGTACGCAATAGTGCCTTTGCTGCTTTCATTGATACTTTTACTAGCAACACTTATGTTATGGTCGTTATGTCAGATCCCACTATACCCTCGGAGGCCACTCTGGTTAATATACGTAATGCTCGTAAATATTTTAGAGGAATTAGAAAATCCCAATAGTAATGCTGTTAATCATCATCAATATCACTGAATGCTGTTTTGGTAGGGCCACAGGTGGGGATTTTGGATAGTTTGAATCATGATAAAGCTTTTTCCTTTTTTTTACTACTTTTTATGCATACGCGATTGAGAATGTAATGTGCAAATTTGTTTTTGTTAAAAGTGTTTCTTTAGGCCTAAGGTTCTTCTCTTTTTTCCATAATAAGCATAAAATATTATAAATATACAAATAAAATTATAAATTTTTCTAATAAACAACATGGATTTTTCGTAAATATAGATAAATATTGACTTATAATGAAAAATTTAAGTGATCACAGACTTTCACTATTTTTTCTCATTTGGAAAGTTATTTAAGAATCGATTTTTAGTGAAAAATTGTAGTGATCACAGATTTTCACTATTTTCTCATTTGAAGCGTTATTTAAGAAACTACAGCCGATTTAAGTTTTCTATATAAAAAATCGATTTTTGGTAGAAGATATGAGAGATCACAGATTTTCACTATTTTCTCATTTGAAGCGTTATTTAAGAAACTACAGCCGATTTAGGTTTTCTATATAAAAAATCGATTCTTGGTGAGAAATTTGGGTGATCACAGATTTTCACTATTTTCTCATTTGGAGCGTTATTTAAGAAACTACAGCCGATTTAAGTTTTCTATATAAAAAATCGATTTTTGGTGAGAAATTTGGGTGATCACAGATTTTCACTATTTTCTCAATTGGAGCGTTATTTAAGAAACTACAGCCGATTTAAGCTTTCTATATAAAAAATCGATTTTTGGCAGAAGATATGAGTGATCACAGATTTTCACTATTTCCTCATTTGGAGCATTATTTAAGAAACTACAGCCGATTTAAGTTTTCTATATAAAAAATCGATTTTTGGTGAGAAATTTGGGTGATCACAGATTTTCACTATTTTCTCAATTGGAGCGTTATTTAAGAAACTACAGCCGATTTAAGTTTTCTATATAAAAAATCGATTTTTGGTGAGAAATTTGGGTGATCACAGATTTTCAATATTTTCTCAATTGGAGCGTTATTTAAGAAACTACAGCCGATTTAAGTTTTCTATATAAAAAATCGAATTTTGGTGAGAAATTTGGGTGATCACAGATTTTCAATATTTTCTCAATTGGAGCGTTATTTAAGAAACTACAGCCGATTTAAGTTTTCTATATAAAAATTCGATTTTTGGTAGAAGATATGAGTGATCACAGATTTTCCACTATTTTCTCATTTGAGCGTTATTTAAAGAAACTACAGCCGATTTAAGTTTTCTATATAAAAAATCGATTTTTGGTGAAAAATTTGGGTGATCACAGATTTTCACTATTTTCTCATTTGGAGCGTTATTTAAGAAACTACAGCCGATTTAAGTTTTCTATATAAAAATTCGATTTTTGGTAGAAGATATGAGTGATCACAGATTTTAACTATTTTCTCAATTGGAGCGTTATTTAAGAAACTACAGCCGATTTAAGTTTTCTATATAAAAAATCGATTTTTGGTGAGAAATTTGGGTGATCACAGATTTTCACTATTTTCTCAATTGGAGCGTTATTTAAGAAACTACAGCCGATTTAAGTTTTCTATATAAAAAATCGATTTTTGGTGAGAAATTTGGGTGATCACAGATTTTCAATATTTTCTCAATTGGAGCGTTATTTAAGAAACTACAGCCGATTTAAGTTTTCTATATAAAAATTCGATTTTTGGTAGAAGATATGAGTGATCACAGATTTTCACTATTTTCTCAATTGGAGCGTTATTTAAGAAACTACAGCCCGATTTAAGTTTTCTATATAAAAAATCGATTTTTGGTGAGAAATTTGGGTGATCACAGATTTTCACTATTTTCTCATTTGGAGCGTTATTTAAGAAACTACAGCCGATTTAAGTTTTCTATATAAAAAATCGATTTTTGGTAGAAGATATGAGTGATCACAGATTTTCACTATTTTCTCAATTGGAGCGTTATTTAAGAAACTACAGCCGATTTAAGTTTTCTATATAAAAAATCCATTTTTGGTGAGAAATTTGGGTGATCACAGATTTTCACTATTTTCTCAATTGGAGCGTTATTTAAGAAACTACAGCCGATTTAGTTTTCTATATAAAAAATCGATTTTTGGTAGAAGATATGAGTGATCACAGATTTTTCACTATTTTCTCAATTGGAGCGTTATTTAAGAAACTACAGCCGATTTAAGTTTTCTATATAAAAAATCGATTTTTGGTAGAAGATATGAGTGATCACAGATTTTCACTATTTTCTCATTTGGAGCGTTATTTAAGAAACTACAGCCGATTTAAGTTTTCTATATAAAAAATCGATTTTTGGTAGAAGATATGAGTGATCACAGATTTTCACTATTTTCTCAATTGGAGCGTTATTTAAGAAACTACAGCCGATTTAAGTTTTCTATATAAAAAGTCGATTTTTGGTGAGAAATTTGGGTGATCACAGATTTTCACTATTTTCTCAATTGGAGCGTTATTTAAGAAACCTACAGCCGATTTAAGTTTTCTATATAAAAAATCGACTTTTGGTGAGAAATTTGGGTGATCACAGATTTTCACTATTTTCTCATTTAGAGCGTTATTTAAGAAACCACAGCCGATTTAAGTTTTCTATATAAAAAATCGATTTTGCTGAGAAATTTGGGTGATCACAGATTTTCACTATTTTCTCATTTAGAGCGTTATTTAAGAAACTACAGCCGATTAAGTTTTCTATATAAAAAGTCGATTGTTGGTGAGAAATTTGGGTGATCACAGATTTTCACTATTTTCTCATTTAGAGCGTTATTTAAGAAACCACAGCCGATTTAAGTTTTCTATATAAAAAATCGATTTTGGTGAGAAATTTGGGTGATCACAGATTTTCACTATTTTCTCATTTGGAGCGTTATTTAAGAAACTACAGCCGATTTAAGTTTTCTATATAAAAAGTCGAATTTTGGTGAGAAATTTGGGTGATCACAGATTTTCACTATTTTCTCATTTAGAGCGTTATTTAAGAAACCACAGCCGATTTAAGTTTTCTATATAAAAAATCGATTTTTGGTGAGAAATTTGGGTGATCACAGATTTTCACTATTTTCTCATTTGGAGCGTTATTTAAGAAACTACAGCCGATTTAAGTTTTCTATATAAAAAGTCGATTGTTGGTGAGAAATTTGGGTGATCACAGATTTTCACTATTTTCTCATTTAGAGCGTTATTTAAGAAACCACAGCCGATTTAAGTTTTCTATATAAAAAATCGATTTTTGGTGAGAAATTTGGGTGATCACAGATTTTCACTATTTTCTCATTTGGAGCGTTATTTAAGAAACTACAGCCGATTTAAGTTTTCTATATAAAAAGTCGAATTTTGGTGAGAAATTTGGGTGATCACAGATTTTCACTATTTTCTCATTTAGAGCGTTATTTAAGAAACCACAGCCGATTTAAGTTTTCTATATAAAAAATCGATTTTTGGTGAGAAATTTGGGTGATCACAGATTTTCACTATTTTCTCATTTGGAGCGTTATTTAAGAAACTACAGCCGATTTAAGTTTTCTATATAAAAAGTCGAATTTTGGTGAGAAATTTGGGTGATCACAGATTTTCACTATTTTCTCATTTAGAGCGTTATTTAAGAAACCACAGCCGATTTAAGTTTTCTATATAAAAAATCGATTTTTGGTGAGAAATTTGGGTGATCACAGATTTTCACTATTTTCTCATTTGGAGCGTTATTTAAGAAACTACAGCCGATTTAAGTTTTCTATATAAAATTCGATTTTTGGTGAGAAATTTGGGTGATCACAGATTTTCACTATTTTCTCATTTAGGGCGTTATTTAAGAAACTACAGCCGATTTAAGTTTTCTATATAAAAATTTGATTTTTGGTGAGAAATTTGGGTGATCACAGATTTTCACTATTTTTTCATTTGGAGCGTTATTTAAGAAACTACAGCCGATTTAAGTTTTCTATATAAAAAATCGATTTTTGGTGAGAAATTTGGGTAATCACAGATTTTCACTATTTTCTCAATTGGAGCGTTATTTAAGAAACTACAGCCGATTTAAGTTTTCTATATAAAAAATCGATTTTTGTAGAGAAACTTGGGTGATCACAGATTTTCAGTATTTTCTCAATTGGAGCGTTATTTAAGAAACTACAGCCGATTTAAGTTTTCTATATAAAAAATCGATTTTCGATGAGAAATTTGGGTGATCACAGATTTTCTCTATTTCTTAATTGGAGCGTTATTTAAGGATTTACAGCCGATTTAAGTTTTCTATATTAAAATTGATTTTTAGTGAAAAATTTAGTGATCTCAGATTTTCACTATTTTCTCAATTCGAGCGTTATTTAAGAAACTACAGCTGATTTAAGTTTTCAATGTAAAAAATCGATTTTTAGTGAAAAAATTTATTTGACTATAGATCAGTCTAGATTGTTGACTAGATATTGTAAGTCAAAAATTAATCACTAAAAGTAAAGAAAATTTCCCCTAAATAGAAACGTTTTGCCAAAAAATCTTTCTAAATGAAGTCTATAAAATGATTAATATTGAGAATAGAACAACTCCTTTTAAACACATAGTTAATAACATTTATTTAAAGTTTTCAGATTTATTTCATTACATTTACATACATATTTAAATAGCAAAAATTATGTTTTCATATAAACATTTTTATATACTTACACAAAAAAATAACAATAAAAACAAAGAAAAAACATTAAAAAATCTAAATTTTACAAACAATTCCCTATAATATTTGTTCTGGAGCATTTACAATAAACATCTTTAAACTATTAAGATTTTACTTATAATTAAACAATATTACAACATTTATTTATCAAAATATAATATATATTTTTATTTATTTTAATATATATTTTTATTAAATTTAATATATATTTTTATTTAATGCAAACACTCCTTTAGTTAATTAAATTGGTTCTTTTTTATTTCGTTTGTGTTTTTATAAATATTTTGTTCTAGTTATCACAGTTTTGAAATGTACAATTAGATGGTAAATTTAAATGTTTTTTATAATATACGGAAAGAGTAAGAGAGTCGCTTTAAGGTTGAAAAGGAGAGAGCATATAGTATTGACTATAAATTTTCTTAGATCAGTCAATTGTCTTAATGATAGGTTAGTCAATAGTCTTGCTATAGAACAGTTTATAATCTTGACTATAGGTCAGTCTAAAGTCTGGACTATAGTTCAGTCTATAATCTTGACTATAGATCAGACTATAATCTTGATTATAGATCATTCTATAATTTTGATTATAGATCAGTCTATAGTTTTGACTATAGATCAGTCTATAGTTTGAGTATAGATCAGTCTATAGTTTTGACTATAGATCAGTCTATAGTTTTGACTATAGATCAGTCTATAGTTTTGACTATAGATCAGTCTATAGTCTTGACTATAGATCAGTCTACAGTTTGACTATAGATCAGTCTATAGTCTTGACTATAGATCAGTCTATAGTTTGACTATAGATCAGTCTATAGTTTGACTATAGATCAGTCTATACTCTTGACTATAGATCAGTCCCTAGTCTTGACTATAAATCAGTCCCTAGTCTTGACTATAGATCAGTCCCTAGTCTTGACTATAGATCATTCTATAGTCTTGACTATAGATCAGTCTATAGTCTTGACAATAGATCAGTCTACAGTCTTGACAATAGATCAGTCTACAGTCTTGACTATAGATCAGTCTATAGTCGTGACTATAGATCAGTCTATAGTCTTGACTATAGATCAGTCTTTAGTCTTTACTATAGATCAGTCTATAGTCTTGACTATAGATCAGTCTATAGTCTTGGCTATAGATCAGTCTATAGTCTTGACTTTAGATCAGTCTATAGTCTTGACTATAGATCAATCTATATTCTTGACTATAGATCAGCCTATAGTCTTGACTATAGATCAGCCTATAGTCTTGACTATAGATCAGTCTATAGTCTTGACTACAGATCAGTCTATAGTCTTGACTATAGATCAGTCTATAGTCTTGACTATATATCAGTCTTTAGTCTTGACTATAGATCAGTCTTTAGTCTTGGCTATAGTTTAGTCCATAGTCTAGACATAAACAAGATTTCCAACTAACCCTTTCAATCTTAAAGAAATCAATACCAATCTCTCATCCCCTCTATATCTTCATAAACTTTATGCGAAAAAAGCATAAATAGCAACTCTACCATCTCTTATGATTCGTTAAAAGCTATAGGCATTAATCCTTAGTACTTTGCTAGCTCCCTTTAGGGTAAAGTCTTTACAACAGACCTCCCTTTTATAAACCCCCGATATTTTTCTTTTAACTTTCTTTCTTTCAAGAATAAAATCTTCTAACTTCCGAAGTTAACTTTTCAACCGTATCCTCATCGACGGGTATAAAACGTTTGGCACCACGACTAAAGTAGTAAATATCTCCTGTGTAAATATCAAACCATAAAGCATGCACATGCAAGTCATGGGATTCCAGACGGGCCTTCAAAAAACCATATGAAGCAATATTAGACATTTGTTCTAGAGTGTTAATTTGGGAGAGTTTATCCTCAATGGCAAATTTATTCTCGGGATCAATATAGGCCACAAAACGTCTTAGGGGTGTTTCGGACGAAAACAATAGAGGATCACTCATGCCCTTTTCCACCCATTCTTCGAATTTTTCCAAACTAGTAGAGGCATGTGTACACAGCCAAGCCCTTAAGGGCGACAGACGACGATTACGCTGCAAGTTAAAAGAAAAAAACAATCAAGTTAATAAACCATAGAATATGTTAATATTTATGTAACAAACTTACCTTGGAGGCAAACTCGGGGTCTCTTAATTGATATAATAAATTCATGGCTTTACAATCACTATGACCACAAACTATAATATGACGTATATCATTGACCACACAACCCAATTCTAAGGCAGCAGGTTCGCAACTATAATGTTCGTCTTGAAAATGTTGGGCATGTGGTATTAAATTACCAGCATTACGTACTGTTTTTGTAAGACAAATATTATTGAAAAAGGGGATGGTCAGGGTTAGAAGATTTTAGAGAGGAATAGAAGAAATATATAAATATATAAAACATTAAAGTTTGAAATTTCTTATCAAATTCAAGTTGTTTCTTTTTCAAAACCCACCCACAAACATATCGCCAACATGTGTATCAGTGTAACGGGTCGGTATCATACGACTGTCCATGCAAGTGAAAAATACGGCCTTGGGCTGTAAGATATAAATTATATCAAAATTAATGGGACGAGAGATAAAATAATATGTTTATTAGAATAAAATTATATTTATAAGGTTTCCATGTCAAGAAAAACCCATAAAATAGATAAGGATTCGCTTTCAAAATAAAATATGTTGTAAGATGAAGTGATGATAGTGTTTGTGGGTGGAAGGGGGTTTGTTATAAAGCCATATATGATAAAGCAAATGATAAATTAGTTACTAAGAGCTTAAAGATATGATAGTGAACGTAATGGGAAATGTCCAAATGTTTGTGTAAATAGGTAGTTTAATAAATTTATGAGGAATGAAGACATCAAAAGAGGTGAACAGTGATGACATTGTTGAGAATTGTAATGATAACATGAAAATTTTTTCTGTACATTGTATTTATTAAAAACCTATTTAGATTGATTGTAGGGGTGACCTTTTAATTGCCAATGTAATTACCACCAACAACAAGTCACCATAATAAATCGTAATTCTAAACGGTTATTCCGATTAGAAACTGATCTAGAACTGAACTAGAACTGAACTAGAACTGAACTAGAACTGAACTAGAACTGAACTAGAACTGAACTAGAACTGAACTAGAACTGAACTAGAACTAGAACTGAACTAGAACTGAACTAGAACTGAACTAGAACTGAACTTGAACTGAACTAGAACTGAACTAGAACTGAACTAGAACTGAACTAGAACTGAACTAGAACTGAGCTAGAACTGAACTAGAACTGAACTAGAACTGAGCTAGAACTGAACTAGAACTGAACTAGAACTGAACTAGAACTAGAACTGAACTAGAACTGAACTAGAACTGAACTAGAACTGAACTAGAACTGAACTAGAACTGAACTAGAACTGAACTAGAACTGAACTAGAACTGAACTAGAACTGAAAGAACTGAACTAGAACTGAACTAGAACTGAACTAGAACTGAACTAGAACTGAACTAGAACTGAACTAGAACTGAACTAGAACTGAACTAGAACTGAACTAGAACTGAACTAGAACTGAACTAGAACTGAACTAGAACTGAACTAGAACTGAACTAGAACTGAACTAGAACTGAACTAGAACTGAACTAGAACTGAACTAGAACTGAACTAGAACTGAACTAGAACTGAACTAGAACTGAACTAGAACTGAACTAGAACTGAACTAGAACTGAACTAGAACTGAACTAGAACTGAACTAGAACTGAACTAGAACTAGAACTGAACTAGAACTGGAATAGAACTGAACTAGAACTGAACTAGAACTGAACTAGAACTGAACTAGAACTGAACTAGAACTGAACTAGAACTGAACTAGAACTGAACTAGACTGAACTGAAACTAGAACTGAACTAGAACTGAACTAGAACTGAACTAGAACTGAACTAGAACTGACTAGAACTGACTAGAACTGAACTAGAACTGAACTAGAACTGAACTAGAACTGAACTAGAACTGAACTAGAACTGAACTAGAACTGAACTAAACTGAACTAGAACTGAACTAGAACTGAACTAGAACTGAACTAGAACTGAACTAGAACTGAACTAGAACTGAACTAGAACTGAACTAGAACTGAACTAGAACTGAACTAGAACTGAACTAGAACTGAACTAGAACTGAACTAGAACTGAACTAGAACTGAACTAGAACTGAACTAGAACTGAACTAGAACTGAACTAGAACTGAACTAGAACTAAACTAGAACTGAACTAGAACTGAACTAGAACTGAACTAGAACTAGAACTGAACTAGAACTAGAACTGAACTAGAACTGAACTAGAACTGAACTAGAACTGAACTAGAACTGAACTAGAACTGAACTAGAACTGAACTAGAACTGAACTAGAACTGAACTAGAACTGAACTAGAACTGAACTAGAACTGAACTAGAACTGAACTAGAACTGAACTAGAACTGAACTAGAACTGAACTAGAACTGAACTAGAACTGAACTAGAACTGAACTAGAACTGAACTAGAACTGAACTAGAACTGAACTAGAACTGAACTAGAACTGAACTAGAACTGAACTAGAACTGAACTAGAACTGAACTAGAACTGAACTAGAACTGAACTAGAACTGAACTAGAACTGAACTAGAACTGAACTAGAACTGAACTAACTAGAACTGACTAGACTGAACTAGAACTGAACTAGAACTGAACTAGAACTGAACTAGAACTGAACAGAACTGAACTAGAACTGAACTAGAACTGAACTAGAACTGAACTAGAACTGAACTAGAACTGAACTAGAACTGAACTAGAACTGAACTAGAACTGAACTAGAACTGAACTAGAACTGAACTAGAAACTGAACTAGAACTGAACTAGAAACTGAACGAACTAGAACTGAACTAGAACTGAACTAGAACTGAACTAGAACTGAACTAGAACTGAACTAGAACTGAACTAGAACTGAACTAGAACTGAACTAGAACTGAACTAGAACTGAACTAGAACTGAACTAGAACTGAACTAGAACTGAACTAGAACTGAACTAGAACTGAACTAGAACTGAACTAGAACTGAACTAGAAATGAACTAGAAACTGAACTAGAACTGAACTAGAACTGAACTAGAAACTTGAACTAGAAAACATGAACTAGAAACTGAACTAGAACTGAACTAGAACTGAACTAGAACTGAACTAGAACTGAACTAGAACTGAACTAGAACTGAACTAGAACTGAACTAGAACTGAACTGAGAACTGAACTAGAACTGAACTAGAACTGAACTAGAACTGAACTAGAACTGAACTAGAACTGAACTAGAACTGAACTAGAACTGAACTAGAACTGAACTAGAAACTGAACTAGAACTGAACTAGAACTGAACTAGAACTGAACTAGAACTGAACTAGAACTGAACTAGAACTGAACTAGAACTGAACTAGAACTGAACTAGAACTGAACTAGAACTGAACTAGAACTGAACTAGAACTGAACTAGAACTGAACTAGAACTGAACTAGAACTGAACTAGAACTGAACTAGAACTGAACTAGAACTGAACTGGAACTGAACTAGAACTGAACTAGAACTGAACTAGAACTGAACTAGAACTGAACTAGAACTGAACTAGAACTGAACTAGAACTGAACTAGAACTGAACTAGAACTGAACTAGAACTGAACTAGAACTGAACTAGAACTGAACTGAACTAGAACTGAACTAGAACTGAACTAGAACTGAACTAGAACTGAACTAGAACTGAACTAGAACTGAACTAGAACTGAACTAGAACTGAACTAGAACTGAACTAACTGGGAACTGGAACGAACTAGAACTACAAATTGTTAACCTGAAAATTACACGACCATTTAAAGAGGAATCGTCACACATTATCATCTGGTAAGATGCATGTGGAAACAATATAAGGCGCATTGGATAGGACTTCCTTATAATAACTTCTGTAGAAGTTTTTAAAATTAAACAAAGACCTTGATAGAGACCAATTGTAGCGCCAAAGATTCCTCTTAACAATATAATTATCTAAGTTTTTCACACATTAAATCAAAATATCAAAAATATTCAAGGTTAAACTAAAACTAAAGAAAAATAGCAATAAAATTTTACTAAGTTTCGCTAACAAAGTTTTCAAAATATTTTATAAATATAAAAAAAACTGAATTTATAAAAAATACAAAGAAAATATTAGTTTCTATGTTAATTTTAAAAAAATAGATACAAAAATAAAATTGAAATTTTTTTATAAAACTTGCTGTAGGTAGGTCATTTGCACGAACTGCTGCTGCCTTAAAAAAAGTCAATAATAAACAAACTAATAAAAATAGAATAGATTTTAAAAACATTAATTTATTGGATTGTTTGTTCTTTTTTTTTTTTTTTTGTTCAGAAGGCGTGTTAAAATGTTTTGCACAAATATCGCACGAGATGTCCCGATTTTTGTTATTTTGAAAATTGTATCAATTTCATCAGCAAAAAAATTTTTTTCCAAACACTTATACAAAATTTTAACAAATAACTGGTCCTTAGATCCAGTAGTAAGTAGCTGTGTTTTGTTTGTAGCTTATTTTTTCACATTTTCCTAATTTGAGACTATTTTGGCTGACGAAAGTTTTGCAAAAATAAAAACATTAAAAAACAAAGTAAACAAATAAATATTTATAAATGTTTCTTTAAAAATAAACTGTGTTATCAGCATAAACATGACCTTTTAGCAAAATTGTCTTTAAATCAAATTTTGATTGACAAATTTTAAAATTTATGTCAATTTTTAAAGTTAGTTTTTATTTTTCTAATAGAAATGTTCAAGTTCCTAAAGTTTGGAAAATATATTTTTTGAAGAAATCAATTATAATTGTGCTAAAAATTTAGTTTAGCAAATAGTATTAGATCTATTTATGTATTTATCGTTTAACTAATGACTTAATACTTTACTTATTAATCAGTTTAATGAACTTTTTTTGCCGCCGACATTTAATTAAAAATTAAACGCATTTTATAAAGTGGAATTTAATTTAATCTCAAGTTTATATACAAATGAGAGAACTTTGTACACAAACAAAAAACAAATGAAACAAAATTATAAATAAAAAACAAAAAATAAACAACTTTTCAAAATCGAACCAAATAACAACAATTTTAATTATTCCAAATGAAATTCGCGAAAACGTCTCCTTATATTAACTAACTAACTAACTAAACTAACTAACTAACTAACTAACTACTAACTAACTAACTAACTAACTAACTAACTAACTAACTAACTAACTAACTAACTAACTACTAACTACTAACTAACTACTACTAACTAACTAACTAACTAACTAACTAACTAACTAACTAACTAACTACTAACTAACTAACTAACTAACTAACTAACTACTAACTAACTAACTAACTAACTAACTAACTACTAACTAACTAACTAACAACTAACTAACTAACTAACACTAACTACTAACCAACTAACTACTAACTAACCTACTAACTTAACTAACTAACCTAACTAACTACTACTAACTAACTACTAACTACTAACTAACTAACTAACTAACTACTAACTAACTAACTAACTAACTAACTAACTAACTAACTAAACTAACTAACTAACCTAACTAACTAACTAACGAACGAACGACGAACAACGAACGAACGAAACGAAGAACGAACGAACGAACGAACGAACGAACGAACGAACGAACGAACGAACGAAGAACGAACGAAACGAACGAACGAACGAACGAACGAACGAACGAACGAACGAACGAACGAACGAACGAACGAACGAACGAACGAAAACGAAACGAACGAGAACGAACGAACGACGAAACGAACGAAGAACGAACGAACGAAACGAACGAACGAACGAAACGAACGAACGAACGAACGAACGAACGAACGAAACGAACGAACGAAAACGAAAACGAACGAACGAACGAACGAACGACGAACGAACGACGAACGAACGAACGAACGAACGAACGAACGAAAGAACGAACGAACGAACGAACGAACGAACGAACGAACGAAGAACGAACGAACGAAGAACGAACGAACCAACGAACGAACGAACGAAAACGAACGAAACGAACGAACGAACGAACGAACGAACGAACGAACGAACGAACGAACGAACGACGAACGAACGAACGAACGAACGAACGAACGAACGAACGAACGAACCAACGAACGAAAACGAACGAACTAACGAACGAACAACGAACGAACGAACGAACGAACGAACGACGAACGAACGAAAACGAACGAACTAACGAACTAACTAAAAACGAACGAACGAACGAACGAACTAACAAACGAACAACTAACAACTAACTAACTAACTAACGAACTAACTAATTAACTAACTAACAAACTAACTAACTAAATAACTTATATTTATAAACTCTTCCTCTCAATTTAGGTTTATGAATAAGATTTAGCAGAACTTCAAATTGTAATAAAAACTTTCTTAAATCGTTTATCAATCTATATATATGAAAGAGTAGCGTTACTGACTGACTGATTCATCATCGCACAGCCCAAACGGCTGAACCTAGAATCATGAAATTTTGACAGTAGATGTGCTTTTGGTTATGTAGATCCACTAAGGAGGGATTTTTGGAAATTTGTACATTTACGGGTAAAAGGGGGAAAAACGGGTAAAACAGGTTTTCTTAATGATCTTACACAATATTAGTGATACAAGAAAAAATTTAAATGCACCTGTATCTACTCTTAAAATGAGCAGATGGGTGTCTGGTACTTTTTTTAAATTCGTTCTTTTAAGGGGTAAAAATGTATAACAAAGGTGATTTTGGTACCTTTTTTGGCCCTTTATAACATTTGAACTAATTAACATAATAAAATTTTTATAAATATTTGGATACATCTCCCAAAATTATGAGACACCTGTTTCGTACTTTTTTAAAATTCAGTCCTTTTTGGGTGTAAGAGGGAAAAAACTGTATTTATGGTACTTTTTTTTTTTAGCACATTAAGAAAACTTTTTCGGTTTATTGAATTATTCCTATTAAATTACGGACTAACTCTGTAACAGTTATTGTAATAAAATTTTTGCTATTTCACTGGGGAAAAAAGTACAAAAAAAACGGGAAATTTAATTTTATTCAAACTCATTGAGCCAATTTTTATAAATTTGAAAAAGTAGTTTATTTACTCATACAAAATAAGCTGTTGGTATATTATTTTGGAATTCGAGTACTAATGCAGATTTGAATCTTTTGAGTTTTATCTGTGATATATAGATTTAAATATGGAACATTTTGTAAACTTAATTCTCGAAAAGTATATTTCTAAGCGAAAAGGGGAAAAATTGTACTCTTTTTATTAGTACTTTTCACTTAGGTAAAATTATTCCACTTTTGGTACTTTTTCTTTCTTTAAATGATACTCTTTGCATGTTCTTTAATATGAATTCAAAACACATGATTATTAAACATACATGGTCCTCATTGAATAAGATTCTTTAAGAGAGAACTTTTTAGTACTTTTTTCTCATAAATAGTAGTTTTTAAATTTTCTAAAATATTCCACCTAGGAACATTAATTTTAACAAACATGGTCTTGACTGAATAATATTCTGTAAGTGGGAACTATTTGGTACTTTTCTATTCTTCAAATGGTACCTTTTAGATTCTTTATAATGGTTAACCGGAGCACACGGTCCTTATTAAATGAGAATTTATTGAGAGATTTTTGTATTTTTTCGTTTTTCCGATGGTACTTTTTGATATTTTTACGATATTGAACACAGATATTGAAAATAAATGAATAAACATAGTGAATGAGGATCTACTGAAAGGTACTTTTTCATTCATTGAATTATATTTTTTGAATTGTATATAATATTGAACACAGAAACATACAATTTTTGATTAAATGATAATCTATTAGAGGTATTTTACAGTACTTTTTTCAAATAGTACTTTCAAAATTTTCTATTATGTGGAAGATAAATTAATGAAACTAAAAATACAAGCTTCTTACTGAATGCGAATTAATTCACGTGATATTGAACGTATAAAACTGAAACATTAAAAGGTGTTTAATCAATTTTAATTTTCTATGAAAGTAAACTAAATTTTGTATGTATTTAATTTATGTTAGGGTAGCGAAGCACCCAGGGTATGCTAGTTATTTCATATGTTTATTTAAATAAATTCCCCATTGTGCAACTAGTTGTCAGGGTTAGTGTTTGTTTTGTGTATGTACAAAGTTTAATGACTTAAAAAAAAAAACAACAAACAAGAGAAAAGTAAACACGTGTAAGAGCATGAGTACAGAGAAACAACAAAGAGTAAGTAAACAGACAACAATAAAATATTGTTATTTATTAATTATAAAAAATAAAAAAAAACTGCAAACAAATTAAATGAAAGTAATTGATGATAGCAAAAGAAAGAGGAGAAAAACATGAAAGCAAAAAACACTTTGCAGAATGTTAAGAAAACAGATGAAGCAGAAAAAAAACAACAACTATGAAAATGTAGTAAACAAATTGAACAGAATAAAACATGTTGCATTTCAATGAATTGGATGACGCTATTTTTTCACATTTATCAATATTTTTTGTATTTTATTTTTGTTGTACTTACCTCTGGATGATCGCGAACTTTTTGAAATTCTCGTACCATTTGCTCACGTGTTGTATTGCGATAACGCATGATACCACGCAAAATACGTTCCATTATTAAGGTTGGTTTTTTTCTTAATTAATAATTTTGGTTAAATTTTCACTTTAAATAAACACACACACACGCACTCACTAATAATATATTGTAGACACACAACTCGTGTTTTCACTAAATTTATTTATTTTTCTTTATTTAAAAAACAAATTAACAACCTTGAATTTATTTTTTATTTATTAATTATATTTTTTATTGCTTAAATAGTATGCGAATTTTATTTGTACCAACAACTACTTTTATTTTCTTTAACACACACCCCTCATCAAAAAAATTGCTATATTTACACTTTTTTCTTTCGTTATTAGCGTCTCATTAGCGTGTGCTTTAGCTTTGCTTAATAAATGATAACTAAAATTTTTAAAGCTCCGTTTAAGTTTGTTTGTAGCCGCAAAAATATAGAATATTAATAAACACAACAGTTGTTAAAATAACAACAATATTAATAGTTCTCTTTCCATAATATTCTCTTTTTAAAGGGATGCCAGAGCTTTTATAATTTCTATACCAGAGATGGAGGTTTGCAATAAAATCGAGTCGCCAACTTCAAACTGTTTTTATAGTTAGTTAGTAGTTAGTTAGTTAGTTAGTTAGTTAGTTAGTTAGTTAGTTAGTTAGTTAGTTAGTTAGTTAGTTAGTTAGTTAGTTAGTTAGTTAGTTAGTTAGTTGTTAGTTAGTTAGTTAGTAGTTAGTTAGTAGTTAGTAGTAGTTAGTAGTTAGTAGTTAGTTAGTTAGTAGTTAGTTAGTGTAGTTAGTTAGTTAGTTAGTTAGTTAGTTAGTTAGTGAGTTAGTTAGTTAGTTAGTTATTTAGTAGTTAGTAGTTAGTTAGTAGTTAGTTAGTAGTTAGTTAGTTAGTTAGTTAGTTAGTTAGTAGTTAGTTAGTTTTAGTTAGTAGTTAGTTAGTTCGTAGTTAGTTAGTTAGTAGTTAGTTAGTAGTTAGTTAGTTAGTTAGTTAGTTAGTTAGTTAGTTAGTTAGTTAGTTAGTTAGTTAGTTAGTAGTTAGTAGTTAGTTAGTAGTTAGTTAGTTAGTTAGTTAGTTAGTTAGTTAGTTAGTTAGTAGTTAGTAGTAGTTAGTTAGTTAGTTAGTTAGTTAGTTAGTTAGTTAGTTAGTAGTTAGTTAGTTAGTTAGTAGTTAGTTAGTTAGTTAGTTAGTTAGTTAGTTAGTTAGTTAGTTAGTAGTTAGTTAGTTAGTTAGTTAGTAGTTAGTTAGTTAGTAGTTAGTTAGTTAGTTAGTTAGTTAGTTAGTTAGTTAGTAGTTGTTAGTTAGTTAGTTAGTTAGTTAGTTAGTTAGTTAGTTAGTTAGTTAGTTAGTAGTTAGTTAGTTAGTTAGTTAGTAGTAGTTAGTTAGTAGTTAGTTAGTTAGTTAGTTAGTTAGTTAGTTAGTTAGTTAGTTAGGTAGTTAGTTAGTTAGTTAGTTAGTTAGTTAGTTAGTTAGTTAGTTAGTTAGTTAGTTAGTTAGTTAGTTAGTAGTTAGTTAGTTAGTTAGTTAGTTAGTTAGTTAGTTAGTTAGTTAGTTAGTTAGTAGTTAGTTAGTTAGTTAGTTAGTTAGTAGTTAGTTAGTGTAGTTAGTTAGTTAGTTAGTTAGTTAGTTAGTAGTTAGTTAGTAGTTAGTTAGTTAGTTAGTTAGTTAGTTAGGTTAGTTATGTAGTAGTTAGTAGTTAGTTAGTTAGTTAGTTAGTTAGTAGTTAGTTCGTAGTTAGTTAGTTAGTTAGTTAGTTAGTAGTTAGTTAGTTAGTTAGTTAGTTAGTTAGTTAGTTAGTTAGTTAGTTAGTTAGTTAGTTAGTAGTTAGTTAGTTAGTTAGTTAGTTAGTTAGTTAGTTAGTTAGTTAGTTAGTAGTTAGTTAGTAGTTAGTTAGTAGTTAGTTAGTTAGTTAGTTAGTTAGTTAGTTAGTTAGTTAGTTAGTTAGTTAGTTAGTTAGTTAGTTAGTTAGTTAGTTAGTTGTTAAGTTAGTTAAAGTAGTTAGTTAAGTTAGTTTAGTTAGTTAGTTAGTTAGTTAGTTAGTTAGTAGTTAGTTAGTTAGTTAGTTAGTTAGTTAGTTAGTTAGTTAGTCGTTAGTTAGTTAGTTAGTTAGTTAGTTAGTTAGTTAGTTAGTTAGTTAGTTAGTTGTTAGTTAGTTAGTAGTTAGTTAGTTAGTAGTTAGTTAGTAGTTAGTTAGTTAGTTAGTTAGTTAGTTAGTTAGTTAGTTAGTTAGTTAGTTAGTTAGTTAGTTAGTTAGTCTAGTTAGTTAGTTAGTTAGTTAGTAGTTAGTAGTTAGTTAGTTAGTTAGTTAGTTCGTCGTTAGTTAGTTAGTTAGTTAGTTAGTTAGTTAGTTAGTTAGTAGTTAGTTAGTAGTTAGTAGTAGTTAGTTAGTTAGTTAGTTAGTTGTTAGTTAGTTAGTTAGTTTAGTTAGTTGTTAGTTAGTATAGTTAGTTAGTTCGTTCGTTCGTTTCGTTCGTTCGTTCGTTAGTTAGTTAGTTCGTTAGTTCGTTCGTTAGTTCGTTAGTTAGTTTCGTTAGTTCGTTCGTTCTTTGTTTCTTTTATTGTGATTTGATTCTTTATTTAGCTGTTATACACTTGGCATTTAACTACTTTGACAATTCGTTTTCCTCTTATCTGCTATTCATAACAAGTAGAGAGAGTTACGAAAATCCTTCTTAAACACATTCACAACAAATCATTAGGAAAAATCCTCCCTCAAACAAATATAAACAATTACAGTTACTTTCAAAACAGAGAGTAAACAAAACTGTCATTAAAACAAGAGAGAGAATGAGTAAAAGTCACAAAACGTAAACAACACGGAAAAACGTTACAAGGACATGCAATTGAGTGACTGAGTGATGGTGAAAAATCAATAACAAGCGCATTCTCTAACAAAAACTCTTCTAAGGGAAAAAGTAAAAAGGACATTCTGCTTGAACAGCTAATAAGACAGATAAATATTTCAAACTAAAAACAAGGCGTTTTTTCGCACAAATTAATATAAATTTAAATAAATTATAATTATGAAAATATTCAAAAATGTAAATAATTAAATAAATTACAGTATTAACTAAACTTTAAGCCAAAACTAAAGAAAAAAAAACATATAACATGAAAAATTACGTCCTAATTTAAGTTCAAATGCATTTAAATGTTGTTTATAGAAAAGTTTAACTTTTTTTAATAAAAAAAATTATATAAATTACAATAAAAACTAAATGTACTTGTTGTTTATTAATAAAAACAATTATTAATTAATATATAAAAATAAAAAAATCATAAAAAATGGTTAGCAAAAATGATGATAACTGTTCTGACATCAATGTGGTCAAGGAACGCCCAGTTTTTATACCGCCACGTAAACGTCAAACGAATAAAAAAACAAATGGAACACAAATTATGTAGATCATATTGCCAATGTACAGGTAAGAATCGATTAATTGAAGTGAATTGGAAATCTTGTTTAAACTTTATATAATTCAAGAAAATTAAATTATTTTATAAAATTTTGAATTCTGACATTAATTTATATTTCGCACGAAGAAGTTTGCTGGGTTAAATTAATTGGTTGGAAAACAATGTCCTAGTTAAAATAAAAAGGAATCGGTCTTTAAAGGCTGATTTTTATACAAATTTAGTATTTAAAACAATTTGTAAATAAAAATATTTTCGCTCTAGTTATATAAAAATGTTTTATAAATTGTATAATTATTAAAAAAATTATACTTTTTCGAATAGAAGACACAATTTCCTTTCTAATGATATACAATATGTTTATTATATTATTTCCACTTGTCAAACTATTGGTTTGAAAAACAATGTCTGAAGAAAATTTACTGATTTTTACAGTATTTATTATTTTGTACTGTTTTATCGACCACGGCATTATCTTAATTGCAAGAAAACTTGGAAAAGTGAAGCAAATTATTGGGATTTTCGCTTTTTATGTTGTCCTGCAGCTCATCTAATGTTCTTTACTCATTGCAGCAGTGATTTAATGTAACGTTAAAACCTAGACCTCATTATGACAATCACTTTAGAAGTTAGGGAAAGTTGGATCCAAAATCTTGAATAACTAACAGACTGTACCCTGTTATTTTGTCTACTAGAGTTGGAAGTAACTCTTATATCACATAAAAGCATAGTTAATTCTTGATATCGTTCATATGATCACAGCCGGATATTTGATCTTAGCAGATCAAGGCTCCAGGAACAGCAAAGACTCAGTAATCTGATTAACTTTATATTAGATTTAGATGTTATCTTATCAAGAGTTTCCCAGTTTCGCTGAGTTAATCTGGATGTCTTTGAAATATCCAGGGAAGTCGGAAGTTTTTCACTTTATATTCCTTAGTACATCGCCCAGTGTACTGATCTCTTTATGATCGAAATATTAGCCTACCGAAGACTGCATCTGCAATCTGAAACTCTTTACTTTTTATAAAGATACAAATCTAATCCAATTCGTACAAGTTGGTTTCATTTTTTCTTAATTTTGATTTAGACATAAAATTTGAAATATTCGGTAACTTAACTGAAGAAGTTTAGGAATTTTCTGCTTTATTTTAATTATTTAAATCTCTTCTTAATTTCCTTTTCTTTTTCAGAATCGCCAAAAACTCTCACCATCCAATAATGTCCTGGAAGAGGATCTTCTAAATACGAAACTTTTGCTGAAAAACAAACAACCACTGCCTCAAATACCACTGAAAAATCCCGATGATAAATCCATTAAGTCACCCAAATCTGCACAATCGGTAGACAATATCTATGTGGACGATAATGAGCTCAACAATTTCGAATCTGTATCGCAAGGAACCAAATCCACTAATCGTCATGAATCTTCAACCGTAACACCCTCTAGTTATTCGGAAAGTAGTCTAGATGTTAAGCTCAGCAAATCACACGATTGTCTTAGTAATCGTTCGGGTTCTAAGAAACGTGTTAACATACGCACTGATCTGGCACAATTGCGTAGTGCACGCAATTCACCAGATCAAACCAACTATGAGGATTTAGAGTCGGGAGAAACTAGCGTTTTAAATACCTACGATCAGTCTTTGGAACGTTATCACACTAAGAAAACAGCAGATAATGGCAACTATTTAACCATGACGGGCACTATAAAGCGTGGCAAGAAAAAGGGTCAAAGTTTTGATTTACAATTGAATATCAGTCGTGATGAGTTGGAAAAAATCAATGCGGTGGCCATTAAAATGGAGGCTAAAGAGAATAAAAAATGTTGCAAGTGTTCTTTGAGTACAGGTTTGCATATTTTACTATGGTCCCTAATATGTCTACCCTTTGTTACCCTTATAACCAGTATTTATTCCTTCTATATTGGCACCATTACCTGGTATAATGTTTTCAATTATATGCATGAGGAAAAATCCATTTTAATTAGACTTTTAATGTCTCCCTTACTGGTGGCAGCCTATCCCATATATATCATATGCTGTAGTCTGGGTTTGGGTTTGTATGCGGGGTTTGTGCAAATAAGTTTCACCTTCTCCGCCTGGTGCAATGAAATAGCCGATATGGAAAAGGGTTTTTATGGTTGGCTTTGCTCATTTTTACATTTATCCGATTGCAGTCCCTACGAAGTGGTGATATTGACTGATATTAGAGAGGAACTAACACAGCCGGCGCCACGTTTGGAAATACAAACCTCCAATGAGGAGTTAACTCTTTAAAGCAAGCAACCAATGTAAATCTATATAACCGTCATAAAACAAGAATATATAACAGAGTAATCTAAAACAAGGGGTGATATATGTGATTAATTTGTTTAAGGTTTGTTTTTTTTCATTTCAATATTAGTACTTCCGATTCAGGCAACAGACATATAAAAAGTTAAAACTTGTATAAATGGCGGTTTCTTTTTTATATATATAGAAGATGAAGGAAAAAAAAACAAAAATCAATGTGTGATATAACCAGAAATTTAAAAAATTTATTATAAAAATACCTATATCCCAAAAGCAAAAACAAATTGTTGAAAAAAAAAACTCCCTTAAGAATCAAAGATAAAGCATTTCACAAAATAATAAATTCCTTAAATAGTAAAACAATTTAAAGTAGAAATTTCTCTTTAAACAAAACACTGAACAAACATATATTTATACTTTTAAAACCCAACAAATCCAATAATATATATATAAACGAGTTTTATTCTAAATTATCTATATATCATTTGAAAGCTTAGCTAAACAATTTTTCCATAAATAACTAAAACCACTTATATATAATAAAATATTTTTTAATATAAAAATACATTTTGTATATAAGGAATCTAAGTTTTTTTTTAGAGATAACTCAGTTTTTTAAAAATTAAGTTAAAATTTTTAAGTATTATATGTAGTTTATAATAGTTTTAAAAATGGTCTACTAAGAGAAACTCGTAAATTAAAAAAATTGATCAGATTTTGGAATTCCTTCATTACATTTGGTTTTCGAGATACCATGACTTATGTGCGAATACACGCACCCAGAATAAAATTTGTTTAACCCAGAGAATAATGAACGCACTTCTTAAAGATTGAGCTCTGCTTAATCTTAATCTGATTTTAGAACTTCTTCATCACATCTGATATTTGAGATATCATAACCTAAAGATTGAAAACCCCCAGTTTTTGGACATCAAAATTTAGGTAAAAATAACTAGAAGAAGCATGAAGTTACAACAGATGTTAAACCCTTATTTTAAAGTAGATAGCTTCAACTTTCAGATTATATAACAAATCTTATAAATAAAGGTGTATTCGCGCAGTTATACAGTCTCAAATTATTAGATCTCTTTATTATTTATAGTTTTATGAATATTTCAAGAATAATGGTAACACAGTCCAACAATTGTTTTTAACCCAAAGGACAAAGTACCCACTTCTGAAGGATTGAGAACTGCTTAATCAGAATCTGATTTTAGAATTTCTTTATTGCATCAGGTTTTCGAGATATCATGATGACCTAAAGAATGAAAAACCCCAGTTTTTGGACATCAAAAGTTAGGTAAAGATAACTAGAAGAAGAATGAAGATATAACAGACCTGTTATAACCTCTCAAATATGACCAAAAATTGTATTTTCCCTAAATTTTATGACACGTTATCTCGAAAATCAATCCTATTGAAATGTGTAGTTTTGTTTCTAGGTTTCGATTTTTTAAAATTTTGTTGACCTCTGCAATTAATTCCCTCAAATATATGTATGTAAGTCCAAGTTTTATAAAAAAAATGTTCAACTTCATGGACACATATTCAAGAGGACTTTTTTCTAGTTTCATAATATTTCTTGGAGCCTCTTGATCGTATACAAATTGCATATATCAGTCTCTACTATGTATATATATTTCAAAGCTTCAAGATGATGCCTATCTGTCAAAGAAGTGGTAACCAACTGAAGCTTCTAAGTCAAATTTTAGAACGAATATCTCTAGGTTCGAATATTTCATGATCTCATCAATATACGTTCGCCATTCGTAAAATAATCTTAATGTCAAAAGAAACAAGGTTTCCCGAGCATTAAATCACTCCGATATTCGGATTCAGAGAGAAAGATTTAGTGTCTGGTAAAAGATCTACCTCCAGAAGGCAGGACTGCTTGATTTGCTTAAGGTTTGAAAAACTGATGTTCGGATTCAGAGAGAAAGATTTAGTGTTTGGTAAAAGATCTATCAGATACAAAGAAAGCCTTGTCAAGGTCGACAAACTTTTCTAATGTTCCAAAATGTCAAATTAAGAGATTTTTTAAAACAACGTCGGGGTAGAATGAAAATATTTATATAGAATAATCTTGACACAAGTAGAGGGGCCAAGCTAATGTGACCTTCTTTCAATGAGAAACGTACAAGGCAACTTATAACTTGAAATAGGCGGGATAAATCAAGGTTTTTGACAGTAATAACTGAACACTGTGTGCTAGTTAGGATTGCAAGTCGGCTTTAGCTCCAACGTCTGCAGAATTCATTAGCCATTTGGCATCTTGAAATTTTCACAGCGTATTCCTGTATGTCTGGAAGAGGTTATAGGCTACTTTTTATTTTAAAATTTCAAGTGGGCGAGGAGCCACGCCCATATTAAGAAAATATTAAATTCGTATATTTGAGATAATATAACAGTTAGAGTCCCCAAATTTTGTCGGATCCACTTTAGTGTCACATGAGGGCACCTCCCATATAAATTAAATACAAAAATTCGTTTATCTGGGAAACTAATACAAATAAATTTTTCAAATTTAGCACGAAGAACTTTAATATTCATCTGAACATTCTGGAGGAAAAAGAGCGGACTGTCATATGGGGGGCGGGGGGTTGTTTCTTAAATAGAAAAATACGTATATCTGAGAAACTATTAGAGCTAGAATCTTCAAAGTTTACATGAAGAACTTTGACATTCATCTGAATATTTAGAGTATAACGGGCGGACTTTCAATGGGGGACTTGGCACCTCCCATATGAATTAAATACAAAATTTCGTTTATTTGGGAAACTAATAGAACTAGATTTTTTAAATTTTGCACAAAGAACTTTAATACTCATCTGAATATTTTGAAGGAAAAAGAGAGGACTTTCATCTGGGGGGAACTTAGAGCCCTCATATGTATTAAATAGAAAAATTCGTAAATCTGAGAAACTATTAGAGATAGAATCTTCAAATTTTACATGAAAAACTTTGACATTCATGTGAACATTTAGAGTATAACGGGCGGACTTTCAATGGTGACCTTGGTACCACATGTATGAATCAAATACGTATATCTTGGAAACTGTTAGATTATTCAAATCTTCAAAATCGTTAAGTGGGTTTATTATTTATATCGCTTTTAGGGTAGCAAAGCACAGTGGGTATAGCTAGTTTATAATAAAGAAAAATGAAACAACTTTCTCCTAGTGTATCAGTCCATCTGACTGGGGGTCATTGATCAACATTATAACTAATAAACAACTGGATCAAAAGAATAATTTACGGGTTTCTATAAGAACCACTAAATGTACCATATTAATATATAATAAGTTAAATGAGATACAGTAAAAACATTTAAAAAAAATTTTTAACTTTAATTAAAAATTCGGGTTTTAAGTGAAACTTTATTAATAAATTTAGGGTTTTCAGTGCAATTTCTATCTTTCTATGAATCGAAAATTTATTATTTTTTTTTTTTTTTGTAAAAAACTAAAATTTTCAATAAATATTTACATTTTTAGTAAAAAATCTGAATTTTTAGTGAAAATATTTGAAAGTTTTTCAAAAATTTTGTGAAAAATTCATATTTATTAAAAATCTCTTTTAAGTTTTAACTGTATTTCAAAACTCATTGAAATAAATTTTCCTAATTAAACAAAGACCAAATTAAGTTCCATTTAAGAATCTCAGTCATTAAAAAAAAAAAAACAAATAAAAAATTAAACGAACAAATTAAGCATTTAATTAAAAATTTAAAATTACTAAAAAGTAATGCATTTATTTAATATAAACAAAGTTTTGTAGTATATATATTTATATTTAATTAAATAAAATTTAGAATTTTATTTCTAAATTTTAATATTATGTAAATTTTTTTTTTTATATTTATAAGTTACATATATTTGAAAATTTAAGAAAAAGTATTATAAAAACAAAAACTGGAAGAAATAATTGCCTAAAAAAAATGTAAATTTCTATATATCAATGTCAAAAAAAATATGCCAAAAAGGAAAAATATATATAAACCACTTTTTTTAAAACTAATCGAAAATTTAAAAAAAAAATGTTTTATTTTTATAAATTAAATAGTAGGGTATTAAGCAGAGCCTAACAGGCCCTCAGCTCAAAATGTAGGAAACTTTTAAATTTCCTTGACTTTGTTGATATTTTTATTTTAATTTTAATCTAATATTTGTTTTTTTTTAATCTATAATAAAACTGTTAAATAAAATATCAGCTTATTACACAAGTCTTGTGTGGTTTCGTTGAAAGCCTATATTTGTAATAATAAATTGAAACAAATCAACTGATGTACACTACTACTAATCAGTCGACCTTTTAATGGCCCTACAAATATCATATCAATATCATTTAGAATGCCGCCACCCTTTAAAGGTCTTATGATTCGGACAAACTTAATA